AAAAAAAAAAAAAAAAAAAAAAAAAAAAAAAAAAGAATGATAAAAAAGTATGAAATGAAATAAACGGTAACAGCGACACCAAAAACCAAGCACCAATTCAAGCAGTGCAAGGAACTAGTGGAGAAAATTAAGTAATGTAACCGACCCTAAATTTATTGGTGTTCGTACATAATTCTTCGTTGTAATATTTTTCACAATAATCATATCTTTTATGCAGATAGCTGACTAAACTTAGGATTCAATGTTTATATCCCAGTGAAGGAAATCTGTATGTGGGCCTAGAGTAATACCATGTCCGGAATACAGCAGCAGATATATTTGTTACATCAGAGCCAAGTAACCTCAAAAATAGAAGCAATTTGGCATTAGAGAAAACAATTGCCATGATAAAAGAATTAGCAACTTAACACATGGTAAATAAACATGCGCGAAAGCTGTATTTTGTGCAAACTAAAACCTGAACTTTGTTGCCTCAACTCCTGTACACTTTGGATCGCAGAGACGGGCTACAAGAATGAATAATTGCAGTAGCTATAGCAAAAGACTGTAGTGCTGAAATAGTTGATTGGAAATGGATGTAATATAAACTGTCGTGGATATTCACCATTTTCATGATCGGTGTGTTTTGCTTTGAACCCTGCGAAATTGACAATCGACTAATGTAATTTTAATGCTTTACTGAGTAAATACGAACTTCGAAACAACAGAATAAAACATGGGTAAATTCAGGTTTCTAATGTAAAGCATCATGTAAATTGCAAAAGGAAACTATGTTAAGAACTATAAAAACATTAAATGACAATTTAATGAATAGAAAGAAAACAAAGGGTGCTGGGCATTTGACAAACCTGTATAAAGAAATCATACGACTTGCATTCTTCTAAATTATCTGCCTGGGAGGACGCATAAGCGCCTCTAGACCTGGCATCGAGTACTGTTAGCGGGCACCCTATATCCCACCCCCCACAGTCACAGCACCCACCAGAGATCCACCTATCAATAAGAGTTGAAGGACCACCAATCCTAGTTCTTGGTCCCCCGTGAAAACCAGCCGGTACGAGAATGTTCATGCTTGTTGAGCATTCACCACTGTTTCGTGGACAAAATTCAAAAGGTATTGAGGTCTCTAGAGATGGATTATTTCTTGTTTTTTTCAGAAACTTCAAACCCCATCCACCAACTCCTGCCTCCTTACGATTGTTGCAAACATGGTCTTTCACAACAATGGCAGCCAACTCAAGATTTGCAACATATTGATTTTCTACAGTGCCATCCTCTGGGTCGAGACTGTTTTGCATATCTCGGAGTGGGTCCCAATCCCAAGAAGTCTCTTCAAAAATGGTACTTGTCCCCCCAAATTTGGAAGACGATCTCTGCTTTGACCTGAAAGCATTCACTACCTTCCTTGTCAATCTCTTATTCTTCCTCAGGGCACTACTTGAGGCCTGCATCTCTCCTATGGGATTGCCATTGAAACCAGAGAGAACAAAATGAGTTTCCTGTATTTCTGAGTTGTTTGAACAGAATGTGATTGAAGTAGAAACTCGCATCTTCCCAATAAGTTCTAACTCATGTTCACGAATATCACATTCTTTGTGTCCTTTTTTACTTGAATGAAACGTGTAAACATAATCCAAAACCCTATCTTCTGGTGACTCGGCCTTTGACAAATTGGCTACATAGACTTCCTTGTCATCTATGGAGAAAACATGGTGTGGCAACCCGTCCTTCCATATAATTTGCAGCATTCCTTGATACATCGCAGAAGATACAGAAGAAGACGTCTGATCAGAACAAGTAGAATTCGTGCTTGATACGGATATATGCCTTTTATGTGCACGTACAGATCCATATCCACGATCAAGAACAGTAACCTCCTTTTGTACGTTCTGCACTGAACAGCTAGAATTCACAGATTCTGAACAAACTGTTCGACTGACATCAAGTATACTTCTTCCAAAACTGACATCACTTTCTAAGGTGCCAAACTGGTGAAGTAATGGGCTCTTCAAGATGTTCATCATACTCTTGCTACCAGTCACCTGGCTCATAATCCAGTCACTAGTAGAGCTTACGACAGTATTTTCAGTTTCTGCAATCAAAGGAAATTGAGTGCCTAATCTAGCTATTTTATATGAACTTCTGTTGGTATCTGACAAAATTTCCATTTTTGAAGCGAAACTCTGTGCTGCTGCTCTCAGGGCATATGTGCGTATCATGTCAAGGCAACGAAGAACATATTTCTCATCAAAGCTTATGATCTGCATTGGAATTTTACTATGTAAACCATAAACGTTTTGAAGGAACAATTTCTCACTGCAATTTTCACTATTTTGTGATCGCTTAGCATTTAACAACAGAGTGTTCTCGGGCTCTATCTTTCTTATACATGTTTTGGACAAAAGATTTTCATTGCCTGATTCTCTATTTTCACTCGCACAGTCCATTGACACTTCATCGTTCTGATCATTGTTCCCCAAATAAATACTTGTGTTTTCCATCTTCTAACTCAAACGGTGAAGAAAACTTTAAGAACAAAGAGATACTCGTTCACTTCTAGCTTCTTGTCTGTATGCAAGCTAAAGGTATACCACCTAGCATTGACCTTTCTACCGTGTAATTGAACCTGTGAAACAATCTAGAAACAAATTGCAAAACATTTAAATTAATCGAGGCATATTAAAGAAAATCAAATATAAAAGCAAGAAAGCAAATACTAACTTCTATTGGAACAAGCATCACGAAGAAAAACATAAAGGGTCGAACAACAATTAATCCTTTACCCAATAATGGGTCGGCTACATGAATCTTTTTTCCGCCGCTACGTTCAGTTCATTGCTAAATCAGTAAATCCATAACCAACTACCACATACCATGTTAGTTTTGGTCCACCCCTCCCTCTTCGCACAAAACAAAAGGGCGTGCAAAACAATAACTAATCTATGAATAAAGTTAAACTGATGAACATCTTCCCATGTTCTTTTAACAACTAACTATGGTCTAGGAAATGATTAATGTATTGCTAGGGGTAAAGATAAACCTAACATAAGAAGAAATCATAGAAACTGAGAACAAAATATTTTTTTATAAACGTCTAATTTTTATTTTTTTTGTCACAAGGGGATGAAACCAAAAAATGCTAACGGAATTTTTACATTAATTACCAAATAATAGAAGGAACAAACCAATGCAGCATTCATGTTCAAAAATCACAATACCTATATTTACCAAAAAAAAAAAAGACGGCGAGTAGAATTTTGTCATTAACTATTTGTTGAAGTTTTGAGTTGGTTGTCATTCTTGTAAAGAATCTCCACAATGGCAGTCCTTCAATATCCTCACCAAATATCATTATCCAGGGCAGTTTCAAGATTTCACCAGTTGCAAAACTCAAGCTCGTTTCTACATCATCATATTGATTTCTGACAACTTATACACGAAGCTCAGAAATTTATACAATAGCAATAGGCAATAGCCAAGATTCACACGGCTCTCACAAAAAAATAAATAAATAAATCTAAAACTGCATAAGTGAAGCAGAAAACAATTTTCCACAAGCTCAAATTAAATAAATCTTGCTAAATTAATCCAACCAAATTGCAACTTTTATTGATGCAAAACTACACAAACGGGAAACAAAAAATAAAAATAAAAATCCAAATCATAATCATAATTATATCTTCGCTTCTCTTAACTTCAAAGATAATTAGATAAACGTAAAAAAAAAAAAAANTCTCTTAACTTCAAAGATAATTAGATAAACGTTAAAAAAAAAAAGGGAACAAATGACGTTACCAAAAGTATATTTCAAGTCAAAAATCAACAACAATTACTCACCTAAACCATAAAATTGATGATTGAAACCCTCTTCAGCTTGAAGGTCTGCTTGCAGTTTTTCAATACACTGCGTAAACCCACCAAATAAACCTTTGAATTTTCAATTCCAAGCAAAGCCCAGAAAGTAAAAGATTACTAATAACAAGAAAAGGGAAAATATTAACCCTCAAAAGTCAGAAAAAGTTGCCTTGTTTCACATGGAAGAAATAGCTCCAGAAGAAGAAAAAACTGATTTTTACACTTCGCAATTCTTAGTTGTAGAAATATAAAGCAAACTACAAAAATAGATACCCACAAATCTAAATAGACTGATGAGAAACAAAACTAACTGAAATTTGGTTGCTAATGGCGTAAGCCACGTTTAGTTTGGAAAATTTTGGCATCAAAATCTTCGGTTTGAGTGGTAGGTCCCAAATTTGTCCAGTATGTGCATTTTCATGGTCTAATCAAAAGACAAATAGATAGTGGAGAGAGAGAAATGTGTGGGCTGGTACGCACGATAGGTCCTCGACTAAGTGCCCACTAGGCACCACCACCGGGCCACTAGGCGCCACCACCAGGCACCCCACCCAATAATCAGAATTCAGAAACTTCAGCTGAGAACACGTAGGAGGCCAAAGACAGAATGTGCCAGCGATTGCTCTCGAATAATACTATTTATCATTATGATGATGAATTATCGATAATGTGTTAGTTTATGATTGGACAATTCAATTTTATGACAGGGCGAGAATAATGAGAAATATAAAGGATAATAAGTCATCAAATCACCGATTTTCCATACATAAATAATATTACTCTTCTTGCAAACATGTGACTTCAGTACATGTTTATAGGATAAAGTTGTCCTAGACCTTTCATAAGTGTGACAAGTCATGTTTCAAAAAGAGTAGAATTTTGTCATTAACTATTTGTTGAAGTTTTGAGTTGGTTGTCATTCTTGTAAAGAATCTCCACAATGGCAGTCCTTCAATATCCTCACCAAATATCATTATCCAGGGCAGTTTCAAGATTTCACCGGTTGCAAAACTCAAGTTCGTTTCTACATCATCATATTGATTTCTGACAACTTATGCACGAAGCTCAGAAATTTATACAATAGCAATAGGCAATAGCCAAGATTCACACTGCTTTCACAAAAAAATAAATAAATCTAAAACTGCATAAGTGAAGCAGAAAACAATTTTCCACAAGCTCAAATTAAATAAATCTCGCTAAATTAATTCAACCAAATAGCAACTTTTATTGATGCAAAACTACACAAACGGGAAACAAAAAATAAAAATAAAAATCCAAATCATAATTATATCTTCGCTTCTCTTAACTTCAAAGATAATTAGATAAACGTTAAAAAAAAAAAGGGAACAAATGACGTTACCAAAAGTATATTTCAAGTGAAAAATCAACAACAATTACTCACCTAAACCATAAAATTGATGATTGAAACCCTCTTCAGCTTGAAGGTATGCTTGCAATTTTTCAATACACTGCGTAAACCCACCAAATAAACCTTTGAATTTTCAATTCCAAGCAAAACCCAGAAAGTAAAAGATTACTAATAACAAGAAAAGGGAAAATATTAACCCTCAAAAGTCAGAAAAAGTTGCCTTGTTTCACATGGAAGAAATAGCTCCAAAACAAGAAAAAACTGATTTTTACACTTCGCAATTCTTAGTTGTAGAAATATAAAGCAAACTACAAAAATAGATACCCACAAATCTAAATAGACTGATGAGAAACACAACTAACTGAAATTTGGTTGCTAATGGCGTAAGCCACGTTTAGTTTGGAAAATTTTGGCATCAAAATCTTCGGTTTGAGTGGTAGGTCCCAATTTTGCCCAGTATGTGCATTTTCATGGTCTAATCAAAAGACAAATAGATAGTGGAGAGAGAGAAATGTGTGGGCTGGTACGCACGATAGGTCATCGACTAAGTGCCCACTAGGCACCACCACCAGGCCACTAGGCGCCACCACCAGGCACCCCACCCAATAATCAGAAACTTCAGCTGAGAACACGTAGGAGGCCAAAGACAAAATGTGCCAGCGATTGCTCTCGAATAATACTATTTATCATTATGATGATGAATCATCGATAATGTGTTAGTTTATGATTGGACAATTCAATTTTATGGCAGGGAGAGGATAATGAGAAATATAAAGAATAATAAGTCATCAAATCACCGATTTTCCATACATAAATAATATTACTCTTCTTGCAAACATGTGACTTCAGTACATGTTTATAGGATAAATTTGTCCTAGACCTTTCAAAAGTGTGACAAGTCATGTTTCAAAAATCTTATTTGTGGTATTCATTCCCTCAACTTTTTAACTGTGTACAAGCAATATTTTTACCTGTAGAATATGTCTATATAGACATTAAATTTACACGTGAGAAGCACGTGACTATTTCAAAAGTTCAATTTACATTAAAAATTGCTCTTGTTTATAATTTTACCATTTCAATTAGACATCACGTGCATGTTGACTCGCAGAGTCTTAAAAGATTGGGAACGTGAATGCCTCAATTGGAAGGATAGGGACATAGTTGCAACATTTATAGAAGGTCGGAGACCTAAAGAAATTAACCCATGCTTGTGTGTATGTATATGTATTGTATTTTGTATATATATGTGATGATAAGAAAGGAAAAGTTATTATTTATAGGTAGATGTAGACTTTTTTGTTTATTTTTCTGCTTTTTGGGGAATAACGTTGAAGGGTCAAAAGGATATAAATTTTTGGAGGTGTTATGTTCCATGGTGATAGGACATTAATGTTCACTAATGGTGTAAGTGACAATAAATGATTGGAAGCAAAAGTTGACTGTATTTTAAACTGTCAAAAGATAGAATGTTACGTGACATTATGTAATATGATTGTTAAATTATTACACTACATTTTAAGAAATGTCAAAATATGTGTCATTAATTGTTTAAAGTACTGTTAAAATTAATGTATAAAACATTGTCACCTCGCAATAAATGTCAAAATGTACATGTAGCAAAACTATTAATGGTGGTGATTTTTTATTTTAATATTTTCTATCTCATAAATACATGAAGTGATACTTTTATTAAAGATTTCAAAGGTCCCAATATTTCTTATTTATTATAAAATTAACACAAAAGTTTCACTTTTCAGTATTCGCTCGATTTTCTATCTTTCTTTAAATAAGGGAAAAGTCAGTGACACTTTCCTTTTTCACTTTTCTTGTTTCTTTAGTCCAACGGTTGAATTTGGTTAGTCGTAAGGACGGTTTAGGATAAAGATAACGGAGTTTAACTGTGTTGTCCTCGTGTTCCTTTTTTACTATTTTTCTAATATAATTTTGACTTTGCAGACACAAAATATAGACAATTATTGATAAATATATCGAAATAAGGTTTAAGTTTATATAAATTATGTTTTGTAGGATAACATTGATGAACACGGTGAAATTTAGGGAAAATAAGTGAAAAATGACTAAAATTGAAGAAAATCAAAGTTTATGGACTAAAGTGCAAATAGTTGAAAGATGACCCGGAAGAAGAAACGAAGATGTGAAAGAATCGAAAACCAATTGAGTGAAAGAATAAAGTGTTGGAAGAAGAGGAAGCGAGAAAATGAGTCATGAAACAAGAAAACGGAATTTGGGAACTAAAACGAAACTTGTGGATTTTGAGTTAAACTATGCAGTTGCATGGTGTAAATACCATGTGGTCGCATGGTTAGATTCAGGGAATTTAAGGAATGAATTCCATTGAACTATGTGATCGCATGAGGGTGTATTATGCGGTCGTATATTATATTTTCGGAGAAAAATTTTGATTTCCTTATATAATTCCAACTCTTATGAAAACAAATTTTGGGATGTCTTTTAAAGACGTAAGGTCGTCCAGAACTGGTTATCACGCATTATAACAAATTCTAAGAAATTTTGGGAGTATGGAAGGAGGTAAGAACGCGAAGATCGATTTCAAAACACGAAGATTCAATTAAAGTTTTATTTGAGTTATGTTGATTTTTCAAATTTTCTTTTATTCTATTCTTATTAACAAGCTAAACTAGTTTTCTTTGCACTAGGACAACAATGAACCATGTAATATGAAATTTTAATTTTTATACACTCGACATTGAAAACACGTTATTGATATTGAATAATTTATATGATTTTTTTCTCCACAATTATTGTGCACAGTAATTGTGTGAATTTTGTAGCTTATTTCATACATTCAAAAGAAGGGAATTAGATTCAACATATATAAATTGTCATAGGATCCGACAGGAAATAGAAATATACTGTTATACTATATGTGAATCTTTGAGCATTCATACAAATTCATGTCATTTTATATGTTCGCACCCGTCATAAAAATATAGTTGAGTCACATATAAAAGTGGATTTAACTTTACCCGAGAAAGATTGTTAAATAAAATAGGAACATTTATTAGTCAAAATTCAATCGTTTTGTCAACGTGTAAAACTAATGTTAAAAATGATCATTGCATGAAAATTCGGGATTCTAATGCGTTTATCATCTACTAAATACATCAATTTGCATTTAGCATAAATTGCATTTAGTTTAGTTAATTTACTCATAATTTGCATAAATAAATAAATTTATTTATAATTTTGCCACAAACAACGCATCACGTTATTCTTATTTTGGTTAAGGTTGCGATAATTAAAATTGAACTAATCAATTTTCGTGGGACGATATTTGGATTCAAAATTCACTTTATTACTTGTTAACGAACCGTACACTTGCGATAATTTTAATTCAAAAAGATATTTTCGTAAACAATATGTTACCAAAATGACTTAATCAACAAGACATACATTTCAAAAGTCATCATATACTATATTCTAGTTTGTTCATGTAATTTCATCTTGAACATCAAAAAATGATCTCTTTGGACTCGACGTGCAATTTATAGTTCTCAGTGGCAATCGTCAATCGCGCAAATCCAACATAAAATACATGTGAACATAAATGTGAATTTGAAATCGAGCGGGATGGCGCCAATTAAAAAACAAAAAAGATGATTGATGGGGAAATATTCGTTGTTACTCATCCAACAACCCCCGGAAAAAAATGAACAAACATTTGTTGTTTTTTGAAATTCAACAATCTTAAACATTCAAAATTCAAAGCATACACTATTTCAGACTTAGGTTAAAATAAAATATAAATTTCTGTTACCTAATACCAAGATCCAAGATTCATTGTACAACGTTTGGGGAAGTATACAATCAATATTGGCCCATAAAACCTTTATATATTGTTATTTTTAATTTGTTATGAAAATAAGTAATTTTTATAAGATTTTGCGCAGCTATAATTTTAAAAAACTTAATCATAATTTAATATCAACTTATAAGAAGATTTAAATTTTGTGAAATAATTATTTAAATATAAGATATAGTAATTTTGATGAATTATTGGTAACATAGTGTTTTGTAGGTCAAACTTATAAAAAATTGTGGAATATCTATCTTCTCATAATATATTTAGGATAAATTCTAAGTGGAGTATGCATGCAATTGGGTGGGCGGGATTTTCGAACGATAGGATGGGGACAGAGTGAAGTCGAGACGAGGCGAGGATTCATAATATATTTTTTAATGCTCTTGATTTTAAAAATAAATTATTTTAGAACCCTAAAATGAAAAATGAAATAATAATCGACACAGGAACCATGTTCTTTGTCTCATCCTCCAATTACCTAGAATTTCCCCATATATTTGTGTGTCACGGAATTAAATAGGGATGCGAGTCTAGACTAGAATGTCACAATTTTGAGATTTGCCAAACTGGACTTTAAAGGATGAGTAGTCAATAGTCAACAATTTGAAGATTTCAAGGAGAAACATTCAACAATGCAGTCTTCTCTATTTAAACTTTACAAAGGAGGGCCCCACACGTATTTAAAAAAAAAAATAGCGTGGGGACCCCCCTCCTGAGGGGCCTGTACAAACCCTACTTGAAGCATTATTCTAAAAAAAAATAGTGCTTTGCGGAGAGCATTTTAGCCCCTGTTTGGTACACATTAAAATTTTCATTTTCATTTTTTTATTCATTTTTAACTACACATTTTTCGATAAAATAATATTTTCTATCATATCAATAATTTTTCCTTTTTTTTCAACTACAAATTCTCTATCAATCTACTATTTCAAAATACATTCTTCCAAAATAATGTGGATCGAACACATCCTTAATATTTAATATTTTAAGCTAAATCTCACTGGAAAGTATATTTCTTGAACTGTGCTACTTGTACATAATTTTTTGTATATCAAAGTATACATCCCCTCACATGGGGGTGGGGACCCCCTTTGTGAGAGGTCTGTACAAACCCTACTTGAAGCATTATTCTAAAAAAAATGGGAAGTGTTATGTGTACATAGGTGTACACATAGAGGATGACATAATGTGAGTGAGGTGGAGCCCACGCTACAGTATCATGGGTCACATCTCACTCACATTATGTCAACCTCTACGTGTACACTTATGTACACATAGATTAATCCAAAAAAAATAGTGCTTTGCAGAGAGCATTATAATATTTAATATTTTAAGCTAAATCTCACTGGAAAAGTATATTTCTTGAGCCGTGCCCCATGTGAGGGGGTGTATACTTTGATGTACAAAAAATTATGTACAAGTAGATAAAATCATATTTCTTTTGGTGGCAGAATTGCCCCAAACATTCTAGTTTATGTTTCCAATTGAGATCAACAATCCCATGTGTGTTTCAATTAATTAATTTCTCGAGAGGAAATTTCAATTTTAATTAGGTCATAATGGCCAAAATTTGATACGGCCTGATCTAGATAAACGGTCCAAAAATTAGTCAATAGTAATTTAGAGTGGTAAGTTTCAGAACGCTGATACGTGAAGTGTCCATGACATACTTCACCGACTTACTTTACCATCCTCCTTGAAAGTGGTTGAAATATACTATTAATTTATATAACTACGATTTTAAATTGAAAAATAAAATTAATTGATTCGGGATGGGTTTAAGGAATTCAGTTTACTATTAGATCGGGAGCGGATAATTTTGTCATCCCTAATGAAAGAGATAATTAGGTTTTTATTTGGTTTGGTCTTTGGAAAATGAAAAATCAAGCTAACTCTCTCTCTTTTTTTTTTTTTTAAATTACCGATTTTGCTAATAATTAATATAATAAGGGAATGAGAGAGAGTATATAGTTTCCCAGCTGACTGGAGTGAAGCTTCTTCCTTATTTATGCTGACCATAGAAAACCTTTTTTTTTAGAGCTTTTATATTTATTAGTTAATATTGTCGGAATTATGTAATAATATAATATAATAAACAATTACAAATTATTATTCTTGTCTCTCCTAAACCTTAAAATCACATCCGAAGGTACACATGATAAATTTGTTTTACAACACAGCACACAGCGATCTTAAATTCACTCCAATGCACTCGACTATCGCAGTCGTGATTCTCGCATACACTCATCTATCAGCAGTCATTATTTGGTAATACGCCAATTTGATTATTATATCATCCCATTGTTAGGGCATTTATATATGCATAAAAAAATTTTAGCCTGGAGATTGCTTGTATAAACTTATTCTCAATGGAACTCTTATCACTATCTATTGTTACCTAAGTCGGCTATCCTCATATGAATTTTTTTACGTTGATTGGGTTTCCCTTGGTGACAATTTCAAATCAACACAAGGATATTATTAGCTTGTTTGGAAGAGATTTTTGGGGGAAGAATTGATTTTGAATAGGGATATGATGGGAAATGTGTGGTTGAAAAGGAAGAAAAAATTATTGATGTGATGGAAAATATTATTTTATTGAAGAATGTGTGGTTGAAAAGGAGAATTGATTTACTGTAGAAAAATCTAATCCCTCCCAAAAAGGACCTATATTTGTTTTCGTGTAAATAACAAGAAGCAAACCATTGTTTTTTGTATATATATATTTCTAATTTAAGCCACATTAAAAAAATATATATGTATAACATTAAAAATAACTAAATGGGGAAAACAAGAAGGGAAATAATCCCCGACCCCTCACGAAAAACATCGACGAGGCAGGGGACCAGGAGTGCTACCCCGTTCCACTGTCATCCCTATGTTGGATGGTGGAAATAATTCGAGGCAAAATTAGTCAAAAACTTAACAAAGATTGCCTCATAAGCTGAAATTCCAGGCTCCAAGCAGAAACTTGAAGCATTGAATTTCTCTGTTTGGAGATTAATCCACAGGAGTAAAACCTCTCTTTATATACTGCAAACATGAGAATGGCAAATCTACAAGTTTCTCAACTTCAAAGGAGTTGGATATAAGGGCATTAAAAATCATATCCCGGTCTGCTATGCCATCAGATTTGCTCAAACCTCTACATACAACAAGAGACGTATTACACACCCATGGAACTGAAATCGTGTATGCAAAGCCATTATCAGAATTTCTATTCTCTAATAAAGCAGCCTTGTATGCCCTGCATACTTGAGAAACATACTTCCCCTTCGGTAGAACATGGAGATCAAATGGATTAAACGCATCAATGTTAAGGTCAACATCCGAATGCAGGTTAACAATAACTGTTCCGTGATCTGGATGAAGACGGCTACCTAGAGTTTTGAGAAATGGAGAATGAGGGTCCCATAGCTTGTGTGGAAAGATGTCATCACCATCGTATGCATCAATGAAAACAATGTCATATTGATTGGTGCTCTCCAAAATGAACTTTTCAGCATCTGATTCGTACAAGAGTAGTCTCTCATGGATGCCTTTCCACAGAATTTCATCAGTATGGCTTGGTTTCAGGCTTGCACGCTTGCCAGATGGGGTCATAATTGAGAAAGATGGGAACCCCATTGTTTTAATTGAGGCTGAGATTACAATGGGGTCAATTTCAACTATGTCCACTACAGCACCTGAAAGAAAGCACAATTTCATGTCAGCCTTAAACAACAAAAACTGCAGTCAAGATTATCCAACAGATTGTTACGGGATAGGATGGCCTCTCCTCTTGCCCATACTTGAACTTGGCAGGAGTGAAATTTTGCCTTGCTTGATGACCAATTCATTCGTGTGTGTGGGTGGGTGTTGGGGGAACAAACCCATCACTAGAAATCTTAGAAATCTATACCACAAGATAGAAATATACTAAGAAGAATATTACCCTAGTGATAGTGGACAAAATGGATTCTTATATTAATCTTAAATTACCCCCAAATAGGATCACCAGAAAATCTAGTGTTTCTACTTGACACTTCATACTGAGACACCAAAAGAATAAGCTACATCATGCAGTTGCATTCCTGCACTGCTCCATGTGTCGTATCCCATTCAAAATGGAGTTTTTCTATGTTCTTCATAAGCAGAGAAAATAGAAGCGATTAGTACATTTCAAGATGAATTACAGATTCTACACTATTATTGTTGAGCAGAAACCTCAAAAGAATTAGTTCCATTGTCTTTAGATCATTTTGAAGGCAATATTTTCAGATCACAAATTTTGATTTGCATTTCATTTAACAAAGGAATCAAGGCAGGCCAAATTCTAGGTCCTAAAGACAGCTCTTGTAAACAATACAACACCATGAACTGAATGCCAAAGTAGAAGAATTGACAAAAAAAAAAAAGGAAAAAAAAGGAAAAAACTCTTAGATATCAAAGGAAAAGGTTCAGTTTTCTAACCTCGGATTTTACTAGCCAGAAACAATGGTATGCTACCTCCACCATGACCTACGCACAAAACATTCATTTTTTTCTTCCCAAGTATTGCGTTCTTGAGATCATAATCACATGATGCGATAGTCGTCAATCCAGCAGATATCATGCTCTTCACATCTGCAAACAAAGAAGAATAATTACAAAGTTCATTAAAGCTAAAGCTTATTTTCTTCCATATGCGAGGGAGGAGGGGAAGAGGTGGCCAGGAAGGGATTAATACTGTTCCCTTAGGGGAAAGTAAAAAATTTCATTCAACCTTCTTTGGTGAAGATGAGAGGAGCACAGGGGAGGAGGAGAAAAGGCGAAAACTAGTGTAAAGTGAGAAGATTATTCATCTGTACTTAAGCGATTGATCATTCTTTTCTTTCTATTCAGTCTTTTTTAGTGTTTTAGCCCTTCGCCTCCTCTAATCCCTCCAATTTTGGAGGGAATGCAAATGTCAGCTAGGAGGGATAAGGTAGCCTCCCACATCTACCTTCCCTTTTTCTTTCCTTATCAAAAAAGGTTAATATGCTCCCACTTCCACTTCTAATTCCTATCCCATTTTTCACTCCAACCAAACAAGGACTAATTAAATCTTTACTGGATAACAGCAATTGTAAACACAAAAAGTTCCACTCATCACATCCTTGATAGTTACACGGTTACACCATCACATCCTTGATAGTTACACCTGTGGAAGTGATCTTAACCGAGGTTGCATGGATCATACAAGATACGATCAAAGAAATTGATGATTAGATATGCAGTCATGCATCCAGCTGCAGGATGTCAATTCATCTTGGTTTGTGACTATTGAAAAGTAATTGTTAGCCCATGCTGAACTTTGTGATATACTTTCTTCACCTATGTTCATATTACTCTTAGAAACACGCATGCGCATAAAAGTTGCTAAAAGCTTCTTCCCTCCTCTTCTTCCTTTCCACTTCTACCCATACAGAGAAATGAGACCAGCCTGGAGGGTCTTCATTCACACAGGTTCAACATACAGATTAAGTATCCCCATATCGGTTGAGCTAAATATCAACAATATGACCAAAAAAATTGAATGGCAATTTACACGTCTACAAAAAACTAAAGAAGCTTACATCTGAAGCTGAAACCTTGCCGTGTACATCTAAGAGTAATCCTGTGAGTAACTAAGTCATCTTATATCTGAGGTGACATTTCAATCATTAACAAGTTCAAGCATTTGTTCACATTTTCTCAGAAATGGTAGATAATAATTAAAGGAAAGTATTTGTTGACCAAAAATACAGAAGTCACAAGCAAATAACCACACAAGGGAAAGTGCATCATCACCAGGGTCAAAGCCCCCACAATGCACTAAAGCCAGTAACTACAAAGGCAGAAGTCTTAGTTTCTTGGCATTATTTCTTTCAAAAAATTTCCTAGGCATACCAAGATGTACGGGTCGAGAAGAGAACAGTTGACACTGACTGAAAGTGGAAAACTGATAGCAACGTAATGAGCACTATTGATAAATGAATACACACAACAGCTTCCTATAGAAAAATTACTGTAATGGAGTTGTAATAAGGAAGGGCATGTTATGGAATTTACATGGTACAGCCAGACAATGCGGTTGCTGCATAAAGCATACAACACCAGGTTCTTCTTCCCTATATGCAGTCATTACTTTGACTGTGCTTTGTCGGGTTTCGTCATTAAAGTGAAGTGTACGCCATTGATAACCACCAATTCTGAATTTTCCATTGGCTTTATGTCCTGGATGGATCTCTGCATACCTCTGTTCAAGCCAGTTTTCTGTTCTAGCCCAGTATCTTTTGTCCTGCATCAAATTTTGAATGATGGTTATGAATTCTGACACTCCCCTTTTCTCATAAAAATAAGGGGAACACAGCCTCCACCCAGTTTCAGATTGAAAAATTCACATTCCAGACATGATGTGTTTTGCCATTGCCGCCAGCATTGGCAGGAAATAAGATTTAGTTTTGAAAAGAGGCCTCCATCCCCAACAAACTAGAATTAAAAAAAAACTTTGTTTCTTCGAAAATAATTGATGTTAGGAGTAACTTTAAACTGAAATTATTGCCTTTTATTGAGATATACAGAATCAATCCTCTAAAATACATAAACTAGATAAAAAATAACTTTGGCAGCATGAAATGAGGATTTGGAATTAAAAATAAAATAAAAATCAATTTAATTCTGATTTGAAGAAGTTCCTACCTCCAAATCCTAGGCTTAATCCATAAAGCCAAACACAAAATTATCTCATATTTCGTCTCCACCATTTTCCTTCAATCGAGTTTTTCTTTTTATTATGAACAATAATAAACTCTCCTTCTCGTAAGTCATAACTCATTACACCACTCGAAACTTACACAATACTAAAAATCAATAATAATAAAAAAAAAACACTTTTAATCGAAAGTTCAAGATTGAAATAATTTCAACAACATGCCAGCCCCATTAATCGTTAACTACTGTTAAAAAAAAATTTTTTTTTTAAAAAAAATATATATATATATACACACACTCTTTTCAAATCATACACCTCAAGCATAAAACTTGTCAACAAATGTATTGAAGTTAAATACATATAGCACACGTTATGGATTCGATACGTACCGGTTTGGAAGAAGGGTGAGCTAAGACAGTAACGACGCCATTTCCCTTATCAGAAACTCCACGGAAAACAGTGTTGCCATTTGAAGAATCGCTGCGCCACCACTCCGAGGAGTAAAACCAGTCACCTTCATCTTCGATACGTCGATTAATCCCCGTTGAAAATCTTCGAAGATTCTTTTTCAAGCTAAATCTTGCTAATCTAAACATTTGTTTCCTTTCTTTTTTTATTTTTATTTTTCTGTTTAGCTATATGAACTGTAGTAAAATTCTGGAGACAAAAAACTAGGGGTTTTGGACTCCTTAAGACTAAGGGTGTGTTTGGAGTGGACATTAGGGGGCAAATACACTTTTTACATAAAAAAATGGTATTTGTAACTTAAGGGTGTGTTTGAATGTGACAAGGGTGAACACTTATCTCGATAAGTAATTTGATAAATCTTGTGACTAGCAATTGTGACTAATTATCAAATCTCGTAAAATAAAATAGTATAAAGTTAGATAGTCATTTTCAAAAGCAACTTTATAGAATAATGCTACTTTACTCAAAAAATGTGACATAATAGTTGACAAAATAAGTGTTGAAAAGACGTGATTGGTTTGAAAAAATTGACTATTTTTAAAATAATACAATGATAGATTGTCATGTGACATTATGTCAATGATTATGTCAACCATTATGTTCATGTAGCATGATTCAACTTTATAACCTCTCCCCAAACATCCCAAAGTAACGAAAAATCTACTTATAAGCTCATTCAAAACATTTCACGTAAAAAACAATCACTCTTCGCGGGATTTGCAGTTGAAAAGTTCGCGAGGTTCATAAAACATATGGTTAAAATTAATTGTTGACTTTAACTCAGATTAGAATCTATAATCGGCATCGGGGCTAAACCAAAGGGTAAAATAAAAGCTAAAAACTGCTTTATTTCTTTTATATTTTAGGAGCTTGTTTGGGAATGATTTTTCGAAAATCATTTTTCTCCTAAAATCATTTTCAACCATTCTCCAAAAAATTAATAATAAATAAATCATTTTTCAATTCAAAGAATCTCTCCCAAACAAGCTATTAATATGAAACCAAAAACAAAAATGGTACTTTTTCAGCCTGTTTCATTTATCATATATTATCCATCCACAGAGAAGAACAGGAGGATCAGAAAAATCATACATTACTGTACAGTATTGTGCAATTCTGATTCCCTCATTTACAGGCTAACGGTACAGAACTTTAACACGTTCTAATTTTCTAACAACCGACAGGAACCGACAGGGTGCATTATCGCAACAGGTTTCATCCATTTGATATCACCTTTTCACAACTTTCCTTGGCAGTCGTCTTCATTCTAATTCAATTGTCAACTATCAACATAGACATAAGCTAAACTAGGACGGTGAAGTAAAACTGACTAACCGCGTTAGAATTTTTAATAGACAATTCAAAATGGAGGCAGCATCCCATATAACAGAACATGGGGAGAAGCATAAAGTTTGGAGGCTGATTTCAAAATCGGCTGCCAAAAACGCAAATGCCAAATTTCTGTCTGCACAAGGCAACAACTAGATTAAGTAGAATCAGCAAAAATTGTTGCGCCATACGTAATTCCTGCAAAAATTCAGAAAAATAATCAGTTCAACAGATGTCATCATCTCAAATCTGTTGCAAGGCCAGACAATCGGTTGAAGCAAGACAATTCATTAGAACTTGCCATGTAAGCCCCAGTAACACTCAGTAAGTCCAGTTTACGGACTGTCATCCCAAAGTGAGGTATATCTCTATCAGCTTAAATTTTTACCCTTTTGTGCTTCCAGGTGTTGCATCATTCATGATTATAGCTAATGCAATTTCCGAAAGTTCAAGTCTACAAATTCTCACTTAGGGATGGCAAATGATAGCATGTTACTTGTCCCCTTCATATTCTAAGTGCATATATTACATAACAATTTGTCATCATAAAGTACCCGATACTAATTAAGAATATGCAGTTTACCATTTGATGTCACTCCTCTCATTTTGATCAGCCAATTCACCCAAATTAGAATTGATTACAACCACAGCTTTCCAATATCATGACCTAAAAATGTTTTGAGAACAAAAGGGGGCAGATCCTGATCAAAAGCTTTTGCTCCAAACATATAATATTGAAGAAGTTGTACAAAGGAAGAAGTGAGCAATTGTTTCTCAACATTAAATTACTTCCCAGAGATACAACAGAAAAGCACTGAGAAAATTGAATATGCAGTAGGTCATGAGCCCAATTAAATATCCAAGCCCATCAGTTGACATCTAATCACTTGGTTTCTCCAGAGATCCAATCAGTATCAATTTGTTAAACTTCATCCAGAGGATGCTAATTTGTTAAACCTTTTAAGGTAATATAAAAACTTATACAATTAACTTCAGTCTCATCTCAATCTCAATATAATTTTATTCATAAAGAAATGTAGTAATCAAGCCACTAGTATGATATTCAATTTTCATCCATGGCAACCAGTACATAACTCTTGTTATATAATTCACAAAATCGGAAGGACAGCTATTTGTATGTGAAATATAAATATTACAACTGCACTTATTTACATCATACCCTACAAATTTTGAGAAACTCCAGAATGGGACAATACTCTTACAAGTGATGGGGGATTTATTAATAAATGTAAAACGACATTAAAAAATTCTTTCAAGAAGTAAAATGAAAATATAATAAGGTATGACATAATGTGAATGCATAATCATTTCAATTTTTTCTCTTGTTTTGAATAAAAGGTAAGGTGATAATTTTTTGGGAATTGTTTCTGCAATTATTTTAAATCAAATAGAAAACTATTTATACAAGTTTCAAGTGCACCCTTACTCTGAGAAATTACTTCAATAGTAAAAGAGAACGAAATACTATCAATTTCAAAAACATAAATAGTAAAATAAAAAATTCTATTTTACGGGTTCACCATAATGTTTCTGCTTTAATGCATTTTTAGGTAAGAAGAATGTTCAAAAAGGAGATAGATTTGCAACAGTTGGTGTTTAAGAATGTAAGCATATATCATTCCTAACAGTTCACACCAATCTATATTGGGTATCTACTCAAGTATGAAACCTAACATTTTTTTTCTTGCTTGATGTGCCCAACAATGTATTATATTTCTCAATTTATTAACTAATTATCTAAAGAATTCACCTTCTTGACTGAATATTCGTGTCTTTTGGCTTACTGACAGATTATATTCCGCTTCAAGGATTAGTATCATGGCTGAGTAATCAAGGCGGATATAGTTCTGTCCAGGTTCTTTAGCGCCATTGACATCGGATCGGTCAATTATATCTCACTCAAAAGCTCTATTATCTTATCACCTGAAAGTTGTTTTATCAAAAAAGGAGCACCAACTTTCTAGAAGGACAAGGCACAAACTAAGGTGTTATAGCAATTAAATGCAATGAATTGAGTGGAAGAATAGTGAAACAGATTTACTAATTGGGTTGCAAACATTGATGGCAACATTTTGTTGAATATTATCACTCACTGAAGACATCATAATGGGAAAAATGATTTTCTTAGTGAATCTAAAATATATCTTCTTGAATCTATACAAGGAATTAATGAATCTATGGCCCTGTTTGAGCCTATTTTCTGAGAACAGATTTTGTAAGAGGTGATTTTTTATTTATTTTTTTTAAGAATGTGTGGTCAAAAAGTATAGAAAAGTTTTGGATTTACGTACAAAATTATTTTATTACGAGAATGTGTGGTTAAAAATGAATTTAGGAAAAAATGAGTTCTAAATAATGGGGGTCAAACAGGGGCTAAAGAAACCAGGATATGGATAATAGGAGAAGAGATCAGGAACTTTTGAAAAACCTTGATAAGCTTAATTCACATGAGATGGTATAGAAGAATAAGAATATAGAGTAGTCAAGTAGGTTCCACTGGAAGTAACAGACGTGTTAAGGGATAAAATCTCAATAAATGAGCACACGAATTTCAAAATTGGTCTGCTCAAACGAATCATCATCTTTCTTAGGGCAGGGGGCATGTTAAAGGATGAAATCTCACATCGAATAAAGATAAAAATATAGACCAACTTATAAAAGATTTGACTACTTCTCTTAATAAGGTTTAACATTTTAAGATGAAAACTCAAGTCTTTACATGGTATCAATTCGATCCGATTAAGACTCAAAAAATGAGCACACGAATTTCAAAATTGGTTTGCTCAAACGAGCAACCATCTTGTGGGAGCATGTTAAAAGATAAAATCTCATATCGAATAAAGATGAAAACATAAACCAATTTATAAAAGTTTGTGCTACTCATCTTAATAAGGTTGACCTTTTAAGATAGAATTTCAAATCTTAACAACACGAGAATTTCAAGAATAGTGAGCTCAAATGAGTCATCATCTTGTGAGTGCATGTTAAAGGTTAAAATCTCACATCGAATAAAGATGAAAACATAGACCAACTTATAAGGATTTTGATCACTACTTTTAATAAAGTTGATTTTTTAAGATGGAATCCAAGTCTTACCATATCGAAAGAGAAATGCGAGCCCAATTGTAGAAATTTATGGGCCTAACTCATCTCACAAAATCGGTTCAGTAAGAGAGGTTTGCCACATTATTTATAAGTTGGCCCAAGATATTGTCTACAGGCGATGTGGGATTTATTTCCAACACCCTCCCTCACGTGCAGACCAGTAATTTTTTCTGGTCCTTGTCACGGGGTAAGTAGTGTGGGCCCACATCAATCCTGTGGTAGGCTCTGATACCATGTAGAAATTTATGGGCCTAACTCATCTCATAAAATCGGTTCAGCAAGAGAGGTTTGCCACATTATTTATAAATTGGCCCAAGATATTGTCTACAGGCGATGTGGGATTTATTTCCAACACCAATTAACCACGAGGGCATTCATAAAACCTTGGTTGGCCAGCTCAGATTATAGTAGAGAGACAAGTGATTGAGATGATATTTCATTTAAGACATGCAAATATACACTCTCTTTTAGGCGGTAAAATAGAAAATAGGTTCTGATTCTTGTAAGGAATTTTGGAGCGAATATGAGTGGTAGGTCTAAATGATGTTAAAAAAATGATTTAGTATTCAGTAATTATCCTCTCCCTAAATAGTCTCTTTCAAGCTCTTAATTCTTCTTTTCTCTCTCCTCTGTTTTCATCTATCATCTTGCTCTTTCCCGTTCTACATTACTCAGTCACTCTTGGCATCAAATGATTGATGAGGACTTCGTAGAAACATGTAACAAAAAAGCACATTGAAAAAATCAATAACACACCTACAAGTAGATAACAAAAAAGTTGATACAATACGAGTTAAACATGTCAGAGGATGTATATCAACCAAATCAAATTTACATTAAAAGGAATAAATGATGTGCCAAACTATAATTCAACACCAAATGGCACTAGTTATTAAAACTTGGAATTTACCTTAGCATATAATGTATCAGAAAGCTGCCCAGCACAACAATTGAAACCGTATCAACACATAAAAAATAGCTAGTTGCGGATGGAAACCTTCCCTGTCCATTCATCAGTCATCCCATAATCAAGACTGAGCTCCCTCATCGGAGGGATATTCTCTATAGCAAACAGCATGAGGTGAGGGAAAGATATATTGTTGTGATCAAACAGCACAAGCTGCACTATAACATTGGGGCTGGAGCTATGGCTCATGTAACAGGCTACATTCCTCATTCTTGATACATCCATGGCAAAATCCAAAGGAGGGGTTGATGGATATGCAGGGCGAACATAGTCAGAGAATATCTGTGATAAATCACCCCATTCAGCCCATCTTCCTGGAAATCGACTTGGGTGCACCAAACTATCACCGTTCATCGTGAAAATCTCGGCTTGCTCTTGCGTTAGTACAATTCCCGTGAATTCGCAAATAAAAGAGCCTGCCTGGATTACGTCCAACGACCTCACTCCCCAACCAGTCTCCCGGGACCTAAATACTTCAAGCCTATTCCTTAGCCCCTTTTGGCTCACACGATTCCTACAAGTAGGAGGGCACTGACAGTGGGGACCACACTCAAAAATTAATGGTTTTCCACGCACCAAAATCCCATTCAGATCATACGCAAACTCTCCCCCGTTTTTATTTGCACAAGAGCAAACATCCAAACACCCACCAACGCAGTCACAGCCAATCCCCTTTGCACCACGATCATAGACGTGCAAAGGGAAACGTGTTGTGGTAAGATACTGATAGTAAAGTGGCTCATGATCCTCATCGATATCATTAAAGAAAAACACGGGCATGTTTTCCTTTTTACTCGACAAATCAAGTGAAACATAACCTTTTGGCCACGCATCCAACTGCAGAGTCCTAAGACTCTCCACAAACTTCAACACAACACTTCCCATTTGTCCCTGATTTTCAAACCTAACAAGCTTGAACTTATAAACCCCAAACCCCGACTTCCCCACATCAAACCAAGTATCAGTTACCCGATATAAACCATCATAAACGTAAACTTTACCAGGAGCGCGACCTTCATATTTAATACCGCGAATAACTCTCACCTCAATGCCATAATGCATGCTCCTCTCCAAGGCCAAGTTACCACATTCCAACTTCTGGTGCACAACCTGCCTGCTATGTTTGTCCTGCCCGCCATGCCCAGTGTAAATTATCACGTCCCCAGCATCCTCATCATCTTCATAACCCCCTGATACAATGATGCTTGTGGCTACGGGTTCCCCATTCGAGCTCTGACTCGCGGGGACATAATCAATCCCGGCTTGTGCCTGGCCGTGCAATCCGACAACACACAGCTCCATCCTGAAAAAGAAAACATCACCAATTGAAACTCCAGGGATAGCACCCACAATCCTCTTGTCTCGATATAACCAGAGGCCTTGGTTCTTCATAAGCTGCGCTACCTTCAAATCCACTCTTCGCCATCTCTGAGGGGTCAAAGAATCACGGTCTTTCTCAATATCTGCTATCAAGAAGGCGCGCAGGGAGTCGAACAACAACCGGGTCCGACGAATTTCACCCCGGAAACAACGATGGGCCTCGGGTCTAAGATCCGTAACCCGGACAAGCTCCGACGAGCGCTGGTCTTGTTTGCGGCCACCACGTGGCGAAATAACAACATTACCAGCCTGGGTTTCAGGATTGTTGCAAGGAACTATAGCGCCCGAATTTGGGTCTGCGTCAGGAAGCACGGCTACGTCACCGTACTTCTGGAGTCGTTGGGCGAAAGTGGAGCGAAATAGCTCCGAAATGCGGTTGAATTCCGACGATACCTCTGGTTTAGGTGGCGGACGGGCGATGCGGTATTGGTGGGTGGGGAGGTGGGTTGTAGGGGGTAGAAATGGTGGGTGTTCATCAAAGGGTTCGATTTTGGGGGTGATTTTTGGGGTGTTTATGGATGAAGAAGAATTAGGTTCAGTATACAGATTCAGTTCTAGACAGGGTACAATCGAATCCATTTTCCCCAACTTTTTCCGGGATATTTGTAAGGAAACAAATTTGAGAAGTCAGGCGCTTGCGTGCAGTTTTGCAGTTGAAGGTTTGGTTGCATTGAGGTATGGGATTGGTAGAAATTGAAATAGGGAAACGCAATTGGTGCGTTGTAGCGTTGTAATCATGCTACATTAACATAATTTTTTAACATAACTGTTGATACGATGCTACGTGACACTTTATTATTGGACTATTTTGAACACGATCAACTTTATCATCCAATCACACGTTGCCAACTAACAACATGTCATTTCATCTCTCATTACTTTCTGTTTTACTTAAATTCCAACATTTCTTATTGCATTTTTATTCTTAAATGGCGTATTAATGATTTCTGTTCAAGTATTCTATTAACCTGCTTCCAACATAAATGACAAATATTATAACATATTTTACACTAATTTATTGTTAGCGAATTACCTGCTAACCTATGTAAACTGTCGAATCTAATCTATTCGAATCAATTTGGAGAGGTGTTAGTTTTTATTTTCGGGTTGGCTTGGACAAACCTGAAGATCTTGACTTAAGTAGTCGTGTTTAAAAAAATGATTTTCAACGAAAGATTTCATTCAACGCGATAAATCGAGCTAACACAAATCGACTCGTGTTGGTTTGAGTTGATTCATTCATCTCGTCGATTCAATTTTGGGTTGTAATTTCATTGGACATTATCGATTGAGTATGAATCGAAGTCGTGATTTTATAACAGAATGTCCCTAACATTTGTACATTTTGCGTATTTATCTTGAACTTTGGTTTCTTAATAACGTTATCCTTAACATTGTTTGATGCTTTAGTTAAGGGATTTCATTCAAATTCAACAATCTATTGATTTAATTTGAGGACAATTACAGTATAGTCCCTAACTTTTATACTTTTTTACACACTTATCTCGAACTCTTGTTTCTTAATAGGGTGATCATCAATAATCCACTTCTAAATTATGAGTGATTTTCGTCTTGATTAAGGGATACCATACAATTTTAATAATATTAAGTTTATTATAGATAATTCTAGTTATTGGTGATGCCCATCGTAAATAAGAGATTTCGTTCAAATTTAATAATATTAGTTTTACTGCAAGATAATTACAGTATCATTCCTAACTTTCGTACTTTTCCCACATTTATCTCTGATCTTTAGGGCCTACTTGAAAGTTTCGGCGTACCGGTTATGAGAATTTTTAAAGTATCGATTTTGAGTGTTTATGAACGGATTTATTTTGAGTGATTTTAGTAGCAATTTTTAAAATTGTCCAGTCTATGCTTGGAGGTTTATTATCCACCAATTCTGAAATTTTTTTAAAAAAACAAAATTAATATATGTTCCTTAATAAAAATGTTAGTTTATTGTTTTTTATGTGCGATCTTTTTCATCGTAAGTAATATTTTATTTATAGGTAATTTTTTTACGTATAAGTTAATATTTAACTTTAAAAATTAAATAAAGTCAAATATTTACTTCAAATTTTAAGTTAATATTTTTTACTTATAAGTAAATTTTATATTTTTAAATAATTTTAATTGATTTTTTTTACTTATAAGTAACTTTTTATATTTTATGAATGATTTTTTTTTTTATCTTATTAGCAGTATTTTTAATTTGCATAAAATTGATTTTTTACTTATAAGTATTTTTTTAATTATTGTGTAATTTTTTATCTTATATGTAGTATTTTACTTATAAGCATTTTTTTAAAAATATAATGTAACTTGCTTATAAATGATTTTTTAGTTAATATATTTTTATTTACAAGTTAGTTTTGAAGAAAATATGTTGGTTGAAAATAATTATTTTATAAATGGTAAAATTAAAAGAGAATATGAGAAACGCCCAAAATCTACCGACATTGTGAGTTAAAAAAATTTGTCAAAATTACACTACACCGATTTTTGGTGATTTTTAAACCATCCAAAATCGATGCAAAAAAAAAAAAAAAAAATTTACCAGTACCGATTTTTCCAACCTCATAAACGATGTCATCCAAAACCAATGGGAAAAAAATCCCAAGCAAGCCCTTGATATTAGTAGCTTTATCCTTAACATTTCATTTGTTAGTGATTGTGGTCTCAATTGGAGGATTCAGTTCAATTTAATAATAATAATAAAAAAATGAAATTTCGTTGATGAAAAGGGCAACGTCCGGCCATGCTTCGAGGGAATCAATTGATGGAAAACCTATCAAATTTGCTCAACAATTGAAAAAATAAAAAATTAAAGCATTGTGGCGGCATTATGATGTTTGATTCATAATTGGTCTTTGCAAATCACCCTAATAATTAGTTACTATTAGTTACAAAGTTGGGATGCCGATGAAACAAGTGATTGCATCATATTTCGTAGGAATCGATTTATGAAAAATGTCTCCAGGATAAGAAATTTTCATTCTATGTTGAGTTGTAGAAAATGTATTCGAAATACGAGATTTTGGTAGGATTTACGTTGAGAGACGCCACAATATATATAGGTGAATTTATTTTAATTCACAAATTCGATTTTGACTACACGAACAAACACACATTAATTGAAGATCAAAACTTGATAAATAAAGCCCCTGTTTGACACTCATTCTATTTCTCATTTTTCATTTCAATCACACATTTTATCAATAAAATAATATTACACATAAATCGAAAAATTCTCCTTACTTTTTAATCATACATTTTCCCATCAATTATTATTCAAGAATTTATTTTTTTCCCAAAATGGGTGTCAGACACTAGCTGGACTGATTTGTTAATTTCTAGAATATCATGGACCTTTCAAGACTTATCAAACAACTTGGGGACTAAAATGATAATAACCTGTCTGTAATCTAGACTCTGCTACTCTGTATCAAGCTCGAAGATTCGATCATATATATCAGTTAGAAAATCTTTTGGGGGTTTTAGTCACTTCCACCTATACAAAGGAGACGAGAATGGGAAGAAAATTTTTCGTCGGCGGCAACTGGAAATGTGTATGTATTTAGTATTTACCATCTGTTAATTTTATTTTGTGTTTGCTTGAAGTTATCATCACTGCATAGAACGATTCTGAACATTTTTGACTAATCAATGAAAACCTTTCGTAAGTTCTTGTATGGTCGAAATCATTGCTATCTATTTACTTATTGCATCCTGTTCATTTTGGTTGAGTTGAATCTAAGTAGTTTCTACTTTTTCATGAATGGTTTTTGTTCTTGAGAATCAAATATGAATTTTTATTGATTTAACGTTGAACTTTAATTTATAAGAAAAAACTAATGAAAGGAAGAACAATGAAGAACACAGAACACGGAATTCAGGATGGCAGAAATTGAGAGAAGATGTATATTGATTTTATTTCTGAATGAAGAAAAATGTACATTACAAGCGGTGGTTTACAAATATATATATACAAGTGAAAAGAATCTTGCAACAAATTTGTAATAGGAAAATTCCCTAATAGAAAGTCAGGTGTGATTTCTAGAAAATTCATCCAGCTCATCTTCTTCAAGAACCTTCCGTTCTTCCAGCTTTCTCAGGTGTCCAGGTATCGTTTGCTTTGCTGATTGTATCAGTTGCTTCCCACATTTTAACAGTCTCCCACAAGATGGAGAGTAGATGTCTTCTACTCCCATCTTGGACAAGTGGTAATAGAAATTGCTTGAACACAGTGGCTTAGTCATTATGTCTGCAACTTGTGAAACACTTCTCACATAATCTGTAACTATACTGCCTTCTTGAATTTTATCACGAACTAGGTGACACTCAAGTTCTATATGCTTGGTTCTCTCATGGAAAACAGGGTTGGCTGCTATATGCAGAGTTGCCTGATTGTCACAAGATAATAGAGCTGCTTGAGGGTGAGGTAATTGTAGATCGTGTAGCAAGCATCTAAGCCATGACAATTCACAACAAACGCTTGCCATAGCTCTATATTCAGCTTTTGCTGATAATCTAGAGATAGTACTTTGTTTCTTTGATTTCCACAACACCGAGGTACCAATGAAAATACAGTATCCTGTTACTGATCTTCGTGTATCCAAACATGCCTCCCAATCAGAGTCACTGTAAGCTTTAAGATGTAGGTCTGATGTTGAAGTAAATAGTAGCCCTTGACCTGGTGCCCTCTGTATATATCTCAACACTTTATGAGCAGCATTTAAATGGGGTATTCTAGGACTTTGCATGTATTGACTAAGCAATTGCACTGAGTAGGCCAAATCAGGTTTTGTGGCAGTTAAATAGAGTAATCTCCCAATAAGTTTTCTATAGATAGAAGGGTTTGGTAAGGGTTCTCCTTGATCTTTAGAAACTAACATTTTGATCTAATGGTACCTTACTTGGTATTGCCCCAATTGTCCTTGAGTCAGCCAAAATATCCAATGCATATTTTCTTTGACAAAGGTGAATTCTTTTCTCCGATCTCGCTACCTCTATGCCAAGAAAATATTTCAGAATACCCAATTCTTTGATTTTGAACCTGTCATCAAGTGAGGTTTTGAGAAATTGAATCTTGTCCATGTTGCTACTAGCCCCTATAATATCATCAACATATACTAATATGGCTGTAAAAGAATCTTATGTACTTCTTGTGATCATGCTATAGTCTGGCTTGGATTGTTAAAATCCTTGTTGAAGAATGAAAGAAGACAACTTTGAGTACCATTGTTGGGAGGCTTGCTTTAGTCCATACAAACTTTTGTTAAATTTTCAAACTTTTGGATGATGACTCGTGGAATAGCCTGGTGGCAACTCCATATAAACTTCCTCATCTAAATCTCCGTGTAAAAAGGCATTGTTCACATCAAGCTGATGTAAAAACCAGCCTTTGATTGCTGCCATAGCAAGTAAAGTTGTCACAGTCACCATTTTTGCCACAGGTGAGAAAGTTTCATGGTAATCTAGACCATCTAGCTGCGTGTATCCTTTTCGCTACTAGTCTAGCTTTGTACCTCTCAA